AGGAAGAGGTAAGGGATGAAATTTTGGTTCCATCAGGGGTTGTGTACCTTTTAATCATACAAAGGTACACACCCCACAAGCACTCAATTCTTTATGCCATACATGGCTCATGCTCTCACTTCTGGAAGAACTGTTACACATCCTACTAAGGTCTCAAAAATAGAAAAGCAAAGAGCCTGCAGACCATTTTTTAATGCAGTTCATCAAAGCAATAAGTTATTTCCCAGCTGGATAACACCAGCTGGATAACACTTGGCTAGCCTTAGCAGAACCTCTCATTCTTCAGTCCTTTAAGCTTACAGGGAAAAACATTTTCTTTGTAGAAATAAGCTTATGATCTCTGTTGGAATGAACTCTGGCCCTGGCCATCCTTCCAAAAAACTACTATTTTATCTTTCTTTTTTTTTAAGCCAGCAGGAGCTGAGCAGATGGTTTTAAAAAATGCATTTTAATTTCTGTCTATGTGCACACATCTCTGCTTACACATTACATGCTCACATATATTGTGGGAGGCTAAAAACATTGATCCACTGCAATTCCAGTTATCCTGAGTCTAGGCCTGGGACTTGGATCTCTGAGCTGGACTTAGGTAACTACAGATAAAATCAGACCTGCATCTCCCAAGAATTCACAACTCAAAATCATCATTGTTTCACACTGGCTGTTGTTCCAGCAGAAACATGAACCCAGGGAATGACTGTGGATCCTTCTGCATGTGAAAAGACAAACAGGATTTTCCAGTTAGAAGGTTTGCTTGAAACTATTTTACCCATTTTGCTACTCAGCAAATCCCAATTATTATATGTCCTTTTAACTGAGTTTTCTCATATAGCATATTATGAAACTGTTGAGCAGTTGTACCATTTTTTTCATCCATCTTTTCACTAATTTCCCCACTCATCCTGATTTCAGAGCAGTGTCATTGGTTTCAGGCATTTTAACCAATTTTCAAGGCATCATTTTTAAACATCTCATCACTTAATCACTGCAACTGCAATTAAATTAGCATTTAATTGCCATAGCATTAAACTAGTAACTCATATCTTAATATTACCAATTAAATATAATTTTTTAAATACTAACATCTTTATGTAGCTGGCTGTTTCTTTTGTCAATTTTTCCTGTATATGCTCTATTTTCTAATCCTCACTTCCTCCCTAGCATTTTCAAATAAGAAACCTAAATTAACTCTTAAATTTTATTGATGGATAAAGCTCATTGAAAATCTAATAAAGCTCAAAGGTAAATAATTTTAATTTTTATTTGCCATATCAAACACTCACAGTATTTACAGTACTCTGTTTTTTAGTGTATTTCAAACACCACTGCAACAGCAAATATTCTCATTAGAAAGGCCATAGCACACACTGGAGCAGTGTTTTGTTTAAGTTGGTGTGACAGGGATGCATCTGAATCCTCAGTATTCCACTCTCTTGTATTATTGCAAAATGTCATAGTTAAATTAGACTTCATTTACTTTTTAAAAAATACACTTATCCCTATTTTCTAAGGAGCTCAGTGTGATTATTTTTTGCTGTGTGAACGGCAATTGTGCAATTTCTACTATGACATCTAGAGGCTGCTGCTTATTTTCTGTGGTTTCTTGTATGGGCAAGATTTTTGTGGTTTCTTCTGTGAAGAATCAGGACTGCTAATGAGAAGCCACAGGAATTAGATTTCTCAGGGTGAGAGTTCAGCACAATTCTGCTAAGCAGCACAACATTTAGAGCATCAATAGCAAGAAACATTCCAAAGGGGAAATCAAACTGTGGCCAAGTTGGATGTAAAACTTAACAACATAGACCAAAAATAAAGTGTAAGGATCTCTAAAGTAAAGGTATAAAATTTATATTCCTTTCTGAATACCTCATAAGCAGGTGATCTTAAAAAGAATCCTGAAGGACATAAAATTTCTTAAAGCAGCAGAAAAAAATAACGTCATTGCAAACAGTTGAAGAGATTTTTTATGTATTCACAAAAAATACACAAAAATACAGTGGTGGAGAGTAGGGATGATTCCAAACCAGAACACTGTATTGTGGAGAACTTATTGGTAGGATTTCAAGCTGTTGTGTTGATTACAGACAGTCCAGGACAGCGTAACAAAACAGAAAGTAACAGGTTGCACAGAAGGAAAATTCCCTTTAAACTTCCCTTTGGAGGGAAATTGATAAGCCCCACAAGCCCAGGGTAAAATGCTATTCAACATCCTAAAGAAGGAAGTAAATGTTGTGATCATATACTTTCCTGATCCTATTAACTTATCTGTGCAGCAAAAGGATGATGGGGAGATAAAATTATGTTAGGAGAAGCTTAATAAAGGAAAACTCAAAAGTGACACATACCAAAAACCACCCTCCCCTTCCCCCCAGTTTTAAGTATATATTTTGGGGGATCTGAACTAGTTGATACAACTGAAGAGAAAAATATATTTGAGATATTTTGAGATACTATAAAATACATCTCAGTGGTAAACAATGGCCAAAACCAAAACCCCCAATGTTAGAATTCTCTAGAAATACACATGTACATCATGAGATGAGGGGCTCAGAAGATTGTGTAATAATGATATTTTCTGGTTAATTCCTATTTTCCATAATGCAGATCAATGGCAATCACAGTCAAATTTTTTAAAGTACAGAAGCCATTAAAAAGGACTGAGGAACCTGTATAACTTCTACTGAGGAAAAACTGGACAAACTTCAGATTCTTCTTTCTATTAAAAGGGAAAATTAAATGGTCATGTCACAGCAGTCTAAAACAACTTTAAACATATGAGGAACAGCTATTAAAAACATTTTCATAAAAAGATTAACAAGAAGCAAGTGAAGCTCAAGGATGCCAGGTTCAAAAAACAAACAAACAGAAGGTGAGTTTTGGCTGGTACATTTATTTACCTGGGTTCAAAAAGCAAAGGGTTTTTGTCACCATTAATGATTGCAATAACAACCAGCTATTATAGCTCTGGAAGTCCTTGAGACAGTTTGCTGGAAAGGAGTATTCCCCCATCTTGGAGAAGATGATGGCTTAGCTGGATATTTATTCTGATAAATTTCTTAGTCCCTCTTTAGGGAAAGGAATGGAAGAAGGGGAACCATACCCAGAATTTCAAACTCATTTGCTTACACCAATTACAATAATTTCCAAGGTTTAACTATGCACTTTGCATTACATCACTATCAGTGAGAGACAGAAAAAAATTACATCTCATTTACATATATCATTAGCTAGTTCATGTGTCAATGAACAAAAAAAAAAGATCCCAATCCAATTTCTACAATCATATCAAAAAATGCTACTCCTCTTTAATCAGTGTTTTGAATCAGACAGCAAGATTTTATCAGTGTGATCCCACAGGGCAATACTTCAGCTGAGCAAACAGACCTGTTTAAACAGTCCCCTTTCAAGAAATGCTTCCTTCAAGCATCTTTAAAATCTTCCTGCTAATATTTCAAGAACCATGCATTCTTCATTATCTTCACAGAGATAAGAATAACTCATTTGAGTTTACTTCAGGCCTCAGTTTTTCTTAAGCACCTTTCCTCCTTTGCTTGGTAGAGGCATCTTCAACCTCTTTCACTCAAAATTCATTACCAAACATTACCATTATTGCTGAGACAAAGAACAATCAGTGGACTCCAAGCCAACATCATCAGGATGATTTTGCCTCAGATTTATGTCTCATATTTTGGCAAATTACAGTTTGAGATCTGTTTTCATAAATGGGCTCTATCTTTATTTAAGGTTCACAATATTAGAGGTCTTGGATTCTTAGCTGAGTCTCATCTGACTCATTTTTTCTCCTCTTTCAGATATTCTGACTCCCAGGGTTAAGTCTTCCAACCCTTTTTGCAGTCCTTTCAATTCAGCTCTTTGTCTTCTGGATTTAATTTCCTTGTTAGCTCCACCATCCTTTTCCCTTATGCAGTTAGTTTCCAACATTGCTTCTCCATATTTTCTTTCTCTGTGTTAAGTTTTCTCCTCTTTCAAATCTTCTGACTCCTAGGTTAGTCTTCTAACCCTTTTTGCAGTCCTTTCCATTTCAGCTCTTTGTCTTCTGAATTTTATTTCCTTGTTAGCTCCACCATCCTTTTCCCTTATGCAGTTAGTTTCCAACATGTTTCTCCATATTTTCTTCCCCTGTGCTGTGCTCACCCATTTTCAGATGCCAATGACTGGCTCTTTAATTGCTAAGTCAATACTGTCACCATGAAGACAGGGAGTACACAGGTTCCATGAACTGCCCTGCACAGGCTGAGATTTTTGTCCTTGACTATGTTTGGTGCACACCTGCTTTTTCACCCCTTTTCTGTCACACCTGGGAATTGTCCCCACTCTCCTTCAGCAGGACATTACCTGAAACCTCCTCCATTATTTCCAAAGCATCAGGGTGTATGTAGGAATACTTTCCCCCTGCTTTTTCACACCAAATCTAACTCACATGCTGTTTCAGTGCCTTGCCTCAGTGTGCACTAATCACCTCCATGACTACTGAACTCTTTTCTCCTTATTCCCACTGAACAACTTCACCACTTCTTCCTTTTTTCTTGCCTTTCTGTCTGGCTGGGTTTTTTGCTTTAAGAAAAACCAAAATCAAACCACAAACAAACACAACATTTTCTGCCTAGGTCATCCTCCTTCCCTCCCAGAGAACTGCATCTCTTGTGGTCTATGGGAGGCAGCATTCCTCTCTGGCAAAATTGCATAAAGCAGCACTGCAGTTAAAATTCAGATTTCTTTCCAGAAGTTGATTCCTATAGGCATGAATAATGTAAATATTACAGCTAAGCCTGAGACACAAGAGTCAAACAATGTACTACTAAATCTACTAGTCCTATCAGAACAACAATAATGTTTAAAAATTATTACAATGTTTTCCTTTTCTTAGAACAGATCTGTCTGTCCTTTAGTTTGAAAGCAGTATTTGAACAGGGCTGGGAACAGATAAAAACAATAAAAAATGGGATTGCTCAACTGAAAATTTTAATGTGTCTACATACTTCTGTATAATTCTGGTTGATTTATCCAGATCATCACCGGGTGGATGTATTAAACTGTGCATAAAACTCCTCTGTTGGAATATTTGAATACTCTTCCTCTTTAAGATATATGTTCCTAGAAATAAAATTTTTTAAAAACCATTAGTAATTTTCGTTATTATTCATAAGTAGCCTGAGAAATCTAAAAAAGATATAATGCAGTAACACCCATAAATGTTCATAAATTATTACAAATTGAATTTAATGTGACTAGAACTTGTTCAATATAGCAAACTTGGGTTTTTTTCTCCCTGAAATATCCCTCCAGAAATCTCAAGAGTAATAAAGCCTGAATTAACACAATCCCGAACTTTTGTTTTCATAATAAGAAAGCATCATGTATTGGAAATGCATTTGCAAAAGGTATATATGAACCTGAGACTGGCTCAGTTGGTCAGAGCATGGTGCTAATAATGCAAAGGTCAAGGGTTCATTCTCCATATGGGCCACTCATTTAAGAGCTGGACTTGATGATCATTCTAGGTCCCTTCCAACTCTGACTATTGTGTGCTTCTGTATTCATGCACAAAAAAAAAAATCCAAAAAACAAAACTGGAAAAATAGAACACTAAATCATTATGTTTGTTTTTCTTGTCCTGCATGTATTATCTTTCTCCTTTCCTATAAGAGCAGACACAAGAACTGCCCTTCAAAACACATCCAGTGGTTAGTTAAAAAATCATCTAGCTCTGTCACACATAATGGAAATGCTGTTTGTGTTGCTAGCTTAACCCTCAGCTATCAGAAACTGGCAGTTCATCCTTTTTAGTTTCAGATATATTAAAGAAACATGTAATGGTTTTTCACCTTATAATATGATTTTCTGCATAGCTAATTATATTTATTCACTATTTTGCCATCTATATAAACAGTCTGCTGTCAGTGGAATGCTTTTAAGAATTACAGATTCATGTCAATCAGTAACACTCCAAACCTACTCTCTGAAGTTTGATTAAAGAATAGTGGAAAACACACTTCAGGTGAATCGTGGATTTTTTTAAAAGCATGAACTTGTAACGAAAAAAATTACAAACACAACAAGTCAAAAGAGCTTTTGAAAGCCAAGCCATTGGGTTAATAATGATGAAGAGCTTTTTTCATTTGAACAATGCTGGTTTGGTGTCCGGTTTTCGGCTGTTTGGATGGCCTGGAAAGGCCCGGGGTGGCCTTGGGGCAGCCCGCGTTTCAAAGGACCAGAAGAGGCTTCAGTTCTTTTCTCGGTCTCGGTGTTTATTAATTGTTTATCTAAAAGATTTTCTTTCGGCCCGACAGAGGTCTGCTCAGCAGCCAGCCATGAGCACACTCCCCCCCCCTCCGGGCAGTCACCTATCTTTATACCCAAAGTTGCGTGTACAATATTTATCATTTTTCCCCAATACCTTTCACCCTTATTGCCCGGTGCACTTTTAGTAATGACCAATCCCAAAGTGCCACCATCACCACAGAAGATGGAGGAGAAGAAGAAGAAGAAGAAGAAGGACAGGACACGCCCCAATTCCTCCATCTTACTTCTCTAAACCCCCCTGTACAGAAATCCTAAACCCTGTGTTTCACTCTCTAACTAACTAATCCCTTCACCATTCACCCCGGTGAAACTCTCCTGTCCTCATACAGGTGTCGTCTCCTGTGTAGGATCAAAGTCCAGCCACCAGACATTTCTGGCAACATTCCAGGACTCCCGAGCCCCCCAAGGGTGGTCTCGGTGACTCGGCACCTCAGTCCTGAGGTGCTGAGATCCCACAGTTTGGTACTCACTTTGCCTTTTGCTCCTGAGAGAGCCCTGCATTGACAGCATCCAGGTCTCGGCGCTGCACCTGGTCCTGGCGCTGCTGGTGCCGCTCCCAGAGCAGCTGGGCCCTGGCAGCCTGCACGCGCTGCCGGTCCCACTCTGCGTCCCTTCGGCGCTCCTGCTCTCTGGCTCTCTGCAGCGGGACAAAAAGACTTCATTTCCTCTTTCCAAGATGGAACTCTATAGATAAAGTCTCATGGGTAAGCTCATCCAAACCTTGCTCGCCTTTATTGAGCACTAGAGGTAGTATTTGAATGGGGAGAAGGGAGCAAGAATGTCTAAACCAGGCAGAAGCAAGATACAGCTATTCTTTTCTCTCTGTAAAAACCCACAGCAGCAACAGATTTTTCTTTTAATTATTGTTAGCAAGAGTTGAAATTTCTTGAAGCAAGAGGTGCACAGACATCAGCACAGCTTATAATATCACTAACTCAGCAAAATAGGGGAGCCAAGAACACCACATGAGTAGAAACTTTTTCCTCTGCCTCACTGTCTTGTCTGACACCCCACTGAACAGAATCAAAAAATCAGGCCTGCAAAAAACTTACTTTTCTTGGTTGTATTCATTTTCAGCCAGCCTAATGACTTGAATGGGTTCATTTCAGAGTAATAGGAGAGGCAGGAAAATGACAATTCTACCTTCAGCTTTAATAACAGTACTAGCTAAGATGTAATAAACCCTACAGTATTGTAAGGAGTAAAAGATAAAATTAAACATTATTCCTTAGCTGTCATAAATACAGCCTATGCACAAGGGAGGCAAGTCACTTCCTACTCCACAATATCTAGACCTGGACACTCTTGACTTTATAGGAGCCTAGATGTTTTCATTTTAACTGCCTGCTTCTATGCACCTCTAGAGCAGCAGCTATTACCAATGAAATTCTATTTTGTAGCATGGCTCATAGGTGTGTGGGATGGTAGAAATGAAACTCCATCACATTCTTATATTCATGAACTTTTAGACCTCTGAAATGTGCATGAGCAACATGCACATTTCAGAGGTCTAAAAGTCACTGCAGGTCACTGGACCTGCTCTATTTGCCTTGCTTGGGCACTCTAGAGAATGAGAATACTGTTTTGGCCTGCCCTGCTTTCACCTTCAGCTCCTGGATCTTCTTCCCCTATGGAGCAGCCTTGCAGGCAGCCTGTGCACTCTCAGGTCCTGAATTCCACCTTGAAGCCTGGGTCTCAGGCTGGGCAGGACTTTGCTGCTCAGCTGGACCATCATGGACCATACCCTGAGATCTCTTTGGCCCTGGGCTCCTCAGCAACCTTCCTCCCAGTCCAACTCCAGGGCTCCAGCCTACTCCATGACATCTCCCAGGTGCTTCAGAGGTACTATGTTCAGTTATATTGATTAAAGTTTGTGTAAAATGCAGATCAATGGCAAACACAGCCTCATATTGGCATGTCCAGGGCAAACAACGGCATTTTTATTTTACAAACAATGTCTATAGTATTATTACAACCAAAAAAACAAACAATACATGGCAATGCATGTGAGCCTAAATACCTGTTTCTCCAGAACTTGCTCCTTTTGGAACTCACGAATTGCCATCAGCTGCTCCTGGTTCATCCCCTTCCATCGATCCACCAGCACACCCCCAGGACCGATTGCTTGGTCTGGGTTTTCAGACAGGAAATCTCCTCGAAGCAGGCAGGTTATTTCATACATATCATCTTTCATTTTTTGAGCCTTTTCCAATTCATTTTTGTGATCTAGTTCAGCAACCTAAATTCAATGGAAAGAGAGAAGTGATGTTTTTTCCAAGACATATATGAACTGAGGGATGAAAAAATGTTAACACATATCATAAGAGATGATTTCCAACCTGCATACAGTTGTCAAAAGCAACACCTACAAAAAGTGATCATTGTCTTATTGGCCAAGATCAAAACTCTAATATCAAACAGTTCTTTAATGCTGTCATATCACATATAGCAAGTAAACAGGGGAAAAATAACTTTGTTTATAAGAAAACACAGAATTAAATAAAAAAATAATTCCACATTTATCCTCACGTAAATGACCAGTATATATTTGGCAGACAAACAAAATATGGAAGAAATTTACAATAAAAATTTACCATCTCAAATCACTAGACTTGATTTATATATTACACTCTGAATCTAGGTGAAAAGCATGGGTAAGCCCTCAAAACAAAGACAGGAGATGTCCAATTAAGGTCTGAGGATGCAGCCTTGATTCTCTTTGCTGATACAAAATGCAAACCTGAATCATATTACATGAATGTATCTGAAATACTGGAGATCACAGTATGCATTTTCTATGGAAATCACTTCTTCTAACATTCATTACAAGGCACAGTCTCCTACTCAAAGGAAATTTTCCCTTTACAATACTCCAGAAATAAAATACAATCATCTTACTGGCCATAATTACCTTTCAAAGAAGAATTAGACTAAGTAAACTAATTTGAAGAAGAATGATAATGCTATGCATCTTTCATTTCTAAAACTGTCTCATTCTTCTGTAATGCATAAACTAAACTATCTGGAACAATGCCTGGCTCCAGCATCCAGTGCACAGAGAGAAACCTTCTGCTTGCTAGGGCACACAGAGCACAGGGGATGGAACAGCCTTGGCAGTCAGGTGATAAGAAACCCCCACTGAAAACATGACTACTCATTCTGATTTTGTGCATCTTATTTTCCTTCTCTTCTCCACATTTTCTAAAAAACAACAAACTAACTAAGTACTAATTTACCTGGATTTTATTGAAATTTTTAGTAGCTGTACAAACAGCACGCCTGCTTTCCTCTTCTTTCCTTTGTTCTTCCATAATCTTTCGGTCAAGTTCAATCCTAAACTTGTCATAAAGATCATCTAAATTAGATTCAAATAAAACATAGTCAATATTCATGGATTTGATGTGCCATATGAGTTAACCAGGGGAAGAGACAGGGGGGAGTTACAGATACAGTAGGCTGAATAACTATTTCCAACTATTTTCCAAATTCTACCATCAAAGGTGTCCATCTTGGGATTTCAGGTGACTCATGAATCAGTTTAATATGTAACCTATCTTGTCTAAACACTTAGTGTTAAAATGAAAGAAGTATGTTAAGTACTGCAGAAAATAATGTTTCATGATAAGCTGGGAAAGAAAAATCAGTATTATTTTTTCTGCTCTAGGACAGTAGGGATTGGACAGTTTGGCCTGATGAAGCAAGCATACCAACTGGAGGCACAAACTAGAAATGAAACCTGGGTGACATTAAAATCACATGTTATGAAACAGAGACTTCCTAAGAAAAACAGTGAATACATTAAAGCTTATAAAGTAAAAACTGGTCCAATATTTCTAAGTTAAATATACAATACCATACTTTTATCAGATACACCACAACTTCAGAAAAAGAAGATTAAAACTACACTATCTTTTTTGTTACCTGCCAATTTTTGGTCAGCTAATGCATTTTTTAAGTCTTTCTGTTGCTGAAGAGACCACTCCCTTATTTGCTCCTTTTGAAACTTCATCCTCTGATCATGGTTTAAGTCTTCACCCACAAACTTCTGCATGCCAGAGATGGTACAGCGAGGATCATCATCTGAGACTCGAGCAGGTCTGTCCTTCTTTAGGGCTTGTGGATCATTCAGGTCAAACTCACGTCTTGTTTCTGGCCCCTGAAAATTCTTATGGAATTCAGTTAGAGCCCTATTCAGGTCTCTGATTTCATTTTTCTGGCGTTCTTCTAGCAGACACATGAGCTTGTCATTTTTCTTCATGTGATGAGCTAGACAAAAATGAACACAATGAAATCACAAGTCTTTGGGGTCCATGAGTCACCGGACTGCACACATAAGGTGAAAATAAAATTTTCAACATGAATGCACAGAATATAAGTTTTCAAACTGTTATGCCTTAGGAGAGTATTTGATCCATAAGTACCAGCCCAGCAAACACTCTAAAGTTAGTAATATTTACTTTTGAAATATTTTCAGCTTTTTAGGTATCAATTATTTTATTAATGTTGCAATGAAATATGTGCATATGAAACAAATACAATAATAAGTACCAGCACTATGAGGTTTCATTTGCTGAAAACCTGCTACATAAGAAATGTACAGTAAACCAGTTGTTCCCATTTACTCTTGTTTACAGCTACAGCTGAAATACATTGTTGCTTGCCAGGAAGCAAGCCAAAATTGGGTTGCAATTGAAAGGAATATAGGTAGCTCTTCCATAGTTCCAATGATTTTTCTAATCATAGCACTAAAATCATTGGCTGGCATTAAGTTTTGAACAGAGCTTAAGAGCTCCTGCCCATTTAATTGGAACTAAATCAATTCCAGCATTTTTAAGAAAAACATGCAACAAAACTCCCACCCAACCAGCCATTTCAGTTATTTAAAATAATTTGCTAGAAAATATAATTTCCTCTTTTACCAGAAACTACTGCTGGTAGTTTCCCAAGAGTCAGACCCTGACAGGTGTATTTTCCAGCCAGGAAAATCACAAGCAGCTGTAGTGGAAGCACAGCATGGAAGTGGCAGCTCCATTTTACCTCCTCTTGAGGCACACAGAGAGCTCAGGCTGTGGGACCCCTTCATCTGACAGCCCAGGAAAGCATCCCAGGCATGGAAGACCACAGGGAACAGCATGAAATATTTGTGTGGCTGCAAGTTCTGACTCAGCAATGGCTCCTCTCATCACCTTACTGTACATGACTCGTGCTCCCAGCAATAACAGCCCAGAGAGGATTCCACAGAATCCATATCTTCTATAGAAGAATGGCTGGACAAAAGATGAGCTCACTCTTCATAAAAGCAACTAAAACAGATTAGCCACTACTATACTGAGAGGGTACACTTACCACTTACAATGGTAAGTAATTATTTTATTTTTTTTAATCCTGTTGCATACTCAGGTTTTTAAATGATGCTATTCATCAATACCTTTTAAAAGAAAACACTGAAAATTCTGGTCTATTAGGCAATGTATCTCAGTTTAATCATGTCAATAGAAATCTTAAGATAACAAGGAGAATACACAGTGTGTCAATGCAGATGTATGAACATAAATAGGACATAAATTAGATGACTGAATTTAGAGAATATATGAAGGGATAAAAGAAAGCAAGAAATGGATTAAAACATTTAGATATTCACAGAAATATCACAGTGTCTAGGAATTTACCAAATCTTTCATGCTCTGCTTTTTCAGCTGCTTCTTGTATTTTCCTTTCCTTGACCTGTGCATCCAATGCATCTTTATCAATCTATTAAAATAAAAAAAAAAAGCAGCTCTTTAGGAGAACAATTAAAACATTGTCAATCTACATTGACTCACAGTTGTACATGATAGATATAACCCCACTAGCAACAGAATTTATACATATTTTTAATGTAGGTAAAACAACATCCAGAAATAGAAATATTCCTGTTTGTTTGCTTTGTTTTAATAATGATAGGTATGTTCTTGCACCTGATCAGATGAAAACACCACATTTACATGATCCATAGACCTATAAATATTTTCGGCTGCATTACATAGAATATGTTTTCCCCGTTACAGCTGGCAATTTTATTTTATTGTTCTGCTTTCATTTATAAAGCAGGTAAGTATTTTAATAGTAAAGATGCCAGCAAGTTGTAATAGTTCATATTTGAAAAAAATACAAAGGGTTCACTCTAAGAAAGGAATGGAAATGTTTCCTGTCTTATCAGAGAGATTCCCATGGTTGTCAAAATGCACTACAGGACACAGGATCTGTGATGAGCTGCCAGATATGGAACAGAACATCCACATCCATGGCAAGTGGGACCTGAGCAAAGGATAATACAGGGCACATCATCAAATGGGAGCACACACCTCCATTTTGGGCAAAATAAAGTGTTAGCAGATTGTGGCAAATTAATGGGCAGAAACATGGATTTTACTTCTCTCTTTTTTTTTTTTTTTTTTTTTTTTTTTACAGACAAGTCACTTAATGTCCTTAAAAATTTTGTCAAAAATACAATGACAAATCTTCAAGAATCTGGTAAACAATTTTAATAGACTTTGGCAAAAACCTATTCAGATGAAAAGAGAAACAGATCACAGCTGAAAATACACACGGTTAGAGCTGTAAAGGACAATTGACAACAGGCATCAGCAAAGAGGTAAGTTTGTAAGCAAGGCTGAAACCATCAAGAATTCTATCCTACAAAAACAATGCTGTTGTGGACACTAAATATCAACTCTTCCAGAGGTCTCATTGGGAAAGCCAAGCTGACAGTATAACTACAGGAAATACTGCTAAGAGAAATTCAATACAAGTTCTTAGAGTGGCAATAATAGAGGTAGGTCAGTGTATTGACTTTTTTACATTACTAAGATAACAAAACAGATACAGAAGTAATAATAAAACTATTACTAATCAAGAAAAAAATATATAAAATCTGTGTTCCCATTCTGCTTTCCAGTATATTACCTCTATGTTTTTAAAATATTCATACCCTGCTTTAGGATTTCTGGTTTCTAAGTCAAATATTGTCTTGATTTTTCAATTTTCTCAGTGACTGCCACTCAGGTAAACTGGTCAGAGAACTGAAGCAAAGAATCTTAAAACCACACAGAAATACTGATATAGAATAGCTCTGTATGGATTTCCTGGCTTTTTATGGTTTAGACCTGGACTTAATTCAAACCATAAGAACCAGATTATGTCAGCATCATTGTTCAGGTACACTGAATGATGTTAAATCAAAATTCTCCAGATTAACTCTCCTTTATTTTAGGTGTTTGTTTAATGTAAGCAGATCTATCAAAACCTGCCTGAGTCAGTTCTACAAAATAAGTAAAAAGTAAATTCTACAAAAGTATTTGGGTAAAATCTTTGTGCGGTACACTCCAGTACAGCTCAATAAAACACACTAGGATATGTAAGCTGTCAGCTATTTCATTAACTCAGGATTTATGGTTTGCTGTTCATTTTTAAGGCTCTAGAAAAGCCACTTTATAGAGAAAGTATTTATTTCCGATGAAGAAATTTCAAGTATCTTAACCCAACTGCTAAAAAATGTTATTAGCTGCTTCCACTGAAGAATATTATTGGGTACTTAAGTACATTGTTGGTGTATGTTGGGATGCTGTACCAGGTGGATAAAACTGTCATGTTCAGTAAGTGGGAACTGCTAATTGCTCTGCAGATACAACAACTCATGCATAAGAGTGAAAAGAACGAATTCAAGGCCCTGTCAGAAATAAGGTAAAGATATTTTTCCACTGACTTGAGACATGTTTCTGTACCTAAGAGAAGAGGATCCAATTGACATCTGTTGCAATTTTACCAATTCAATGAAGTCACCTCACATCACTCTTCCCTCCATGCATGCTCACAACATCTTAATGTGGGCCTTTGGACATATCAAGAAGAAATTCAAAATACTATTGCATCCAAAGTCAAATAGGTATAGAGCACATTATTTCCTGACGTTCAGGATGCAAACTGCAGAGTAAACTCTGGAGAAAATCTACTAGCCTGAAGCATGTTCACATTTACACATCAATGCCAAGAAAAATCAGATACAACAATTAATTACATATATAATCAAGGATGGATCTGTCGTATTCATCTGATGCAAAATGTGGACTAATTGCAGGACACTTACAGCACTAAATCTCCCACAGCATCAATTCTAGCGAGGTCCAGGCAGAAAAGGGCAGTATAACAGAGCAGAGAGGTAAAAAACAATTACTTGCTTTATCCACATTTCATAAACTGACTCTGGAAGCTCTAGGCTTCCATTCAAGTACTACTACACAGAGATACAACACAGGGCTTGATCCCTCTGCGCTGTCAGGGGACAATGACACCTTGCCCTTGAATCCAGAGCAGTGGGGCACAGGTACACACGAGAAACAATGGCCATAAAGGAAAACACAAGAAGTTTTGCCTCAACAGGAGGAAGAACCTCTTTCTATCAAGGGTGGCACAGCACTGAACAGCTGCCCAGGGAGGTCAAGGAGTTTTTCCCTTTGAAGATATTCCAAACTCACCTGGGCACATCCCTGTGCCACCCGCTCTGGTTGACCCTGCCTTTATAGGGGGGTTGGAGTGGATGATCTTCAGAGGTCCCTTCCAACCCTAAATATTCTATGATTTCTTTCACCGGTAACTTTAAAAGCGACTCTTTTTAAAGATGCGAAAGTTGCATCTGGGCCCTCCCTTCCTGCTTGCTCCCCCTCACATACACACACTTGAGGAGGGGTCACTGGGTGCCGCTCTGACCGGCTCAGCCGCCCCTTCCCTCCCTGCACTCCCTGCCTTCATTACGCCGTTCTCTTCAGAACCCCTGGGAACACCGGGGGGACACGGCGCCCTCCCTCCCGTCCTGCCGCCCTCACCCCTATGGTGCGGATCCGTGCGTTGAAGATGCGGCCCCGCCGCAGCAGCTCCCGCCGCCGCCGGCGCTCCAGGGCGGCGGCCTCCTCCAGCTCCCGCTGCGGCCCCAGCCCGCTCATGGCGCCGGAGGGAACACCGGGGCTGGACTGAGAGCGGTGGCCGGGAACAGCGGTGGCGGCCAGGCGGGACACAAGGCGGCCGGTCGCGATGGGAACAGCGGCACGGCGGCGCTGGCTAGGCGGGACACAAGGCGGCCCGTCGCAATGGGAACGGGAGCGGCGCTGGCCAGCCGGGACACAAGGCGGCCCGTCGCGATGGCACCGGCCAGGCGGGACACAAGGCGGCCGGTCGCGATGGGAACAGCGGCACGGCGGCGCTGGCTAGGCGGGACACAAGGCGGCCCGTCGCAATGGGAACGGGAGCGGCGCTGGCCAGCCGGGACACAAGGCAGCCCGTCGCGATGGCACCGGCCAGCCGGGACACAAGGCAGCCTGTAGCGATAACACCGGCCAGCCGGGACACAAGGCAGCCCGTCGCGATGGCACCGGCCAGCGGGGACACAAAGCGGCCCGTCGCGATGGCACCGGCCAGCCGGGACAGAAGGCGGCCGGTGGCGATGGGAACGGGAGCGGCGACTCCCGAGCGCAGCGCGGGGCGGAGCCGCCGCACGAGGCGCGCAGGCTGTGAGGGCGGGGCGGGCTCGCCCTTCCTTCCCTTTGAGGCGATAAAATCGTCGAAGAGGGTTGTGGGGTGGGGGTGGTTTTTTGTCGGTAGGTTGGTGAAGTAGCCTCCTTGATTGTTTGAGGTGTTGAGCCCGGCAGCTCCTGAGCCCAGCTCCCCGCGGGGATGGGTTACCTGAAGCTGCTGGTGGTGAAGGACTTCAAGTCATGGAGGGGCCAGCAGGTTATCGGGCCCTTCATGAGGTTCAACTGCATCATCGGGCCCAATGGATCAGGTATTGTGGGTGGGTAGGGGGCAGCTGCTCCATGAGCTGCCAACATTGAGGGCTCAGTTTGGTGGAATTTAGCCTCACGGACTTGCTGAAAATCTCCTCAGGTGCACCTGAAGGTGGGCAGTATAAATGAAGCCTAGGAAGCACCTGCTGTGTAATTTTTAGCTGAAAGTGTAGGTTTTCTTCAGGATGGAAGGGCAGGAGCAGGCTGCGGGGGAGAAAAGTTCGTGTTGACTTGGTGCTTTCCAGCTGAAGCAGAAAGCCTATTTTGCAAACAGCACACCTTGTCTTGGCCATCTCAGCTTACAAAAATCAAATAAATATGGTTTTATTTTAGTACTCCGGGCTGTACGAGTGGAAACCTTCTTCTTGGGAGTTTGTGGGTTGTGCTGCGCTTCCTCCAGGAAGGGGAAGGTGGCTCTGCAAAATGGCGGCTGTGGTGAAGCAGGGCTGACACCGGCGAGGCTCTGAAGGGGCAGCAGCACCGTGTCGTGATCCCAGGGTGCTGGAACTTCTTGTGAAAAACGCCAGTCACTTGTTTCTAAAGTTTTAAAAGTTTAATAGTAATAAAATGGTTATAAAAATAGCAATATAATTAGAGTTAAACGGGTAGTATACATAGTATCTTGTCTGGGTCTGTAACTGGGGTAGCTCCTTTGAGTAACTACCTTGATAGTTAATTCCCTTGCAAAGAAGCTGTCTTTGCAGACATATGGCCACAAATGTTTGTAAAACTACATGATAGCTGTTTTCCACTTTCTCCTCTTTAAAATAATTTCTGATCAATTAATGGAGAGCCTCCATTGATTACCTTAGTTTGTGACTATTCCTGTGCTGCATTTTAGAAGCATTTGGTCAGTTAGTCATCAGTTAGCAGATTTGTTTAAAATATTTATATTTTAAATTCTTTTATATATAAATTTTTTTACTAACATGAGAATGCTGAAAATACTGCACTAATTTTGGGCAAAAACATAAGTGTTAATCTGCAGGTTGAATGGGAGGTGCTATAAGCTTCCCTGAATAATAAGAGTAATACAAAAGGATAAAAAAAGACTGTAGGTGAGAACTGTTAGGTGTAAGCTTTGGATTGAAACTTAGTGTCAAAAAATTCAGGTTATTATAATGCCAGATAGGCTTATTTTCTGCTGTCAGTGTGTTACCTCTTAAAAATGTTTATTATGTGCAACAGCTTTTCCTCGATAAAATCACAAAATCATAGAATGGTTTCAGTGGGGAGAGACCCCATAGCTCATCTGGTTCCAGTCCTCCATCATGCTTTCCACTATACCAGGTTGTTCCAAGTCCCATCCAACTTGGCCTTGAGCACTTCCAGGAGTGGGGCATCCACAGTTTCTTTGAGCAACTTGTACCACTACCCTCAGAGAGAATTTCCTCCTAAAAGAATAAAAAATACATAATTAGCAATAGCATTTTCTAAAGAATTTGGTGATTCCCCAGATTCTTTCATTCTTAATAAAATGCTTCCATTTATGTCCTGTCAAAAATGTCTGCATTTTTTTTTAATTTTTAAGGAAAATCGAACATAATGGATGCTGTTAGCTTTGTGATGTGTGAAAAAACATCAAACTTGCGAGTTAAAAGTGTTCGAGAACTGATTCATGGAGCACACGTTGGAAAACCTGTTTCTTCTACAGCCAGCGTGAAGATTGTGTATTGTGAGGACGATGGGGAAGAAAAAACATTTTCAAGAGTTATCCGTGGTAGGTTCTAGATTCTGCTGCAGGTACTGTCTATTGTGTGATATATAAAGAAATGAAGACCTAAAATACCCAAGTTAGAATTTCAGATGCCCAATATTAGTTCATAGTTGGGCAGATTAGTATAGTCCTTCAGATGGTGATATAAATGAAAAAAGAGATTTAATTAGTTAAAAAAATTGAGCAAGTTCTTTGCTCAGTATCCATCTCTAGATATTTCTTTGGGTGATGTAGGCTCTAAGAAATAGGGTCTGACACCTTGCTGCAGGTGTCAGTTCCTTTAGAAAGTACTAAAATTCGAAACTAGATTTTTTTAAACAGAAAAAAATAAATTACTGAAAGGAATAAAGGAGTCATTGAAATCTACTGTGTTCTTTGAGGAAATTACTCAGTTAAATTATTCCACTAGTTTAAGTATTTTCCAGTGGGTTTTTTTGTTGTAGCCATTTTCAGCAGTGATTTTTTTTTTTTTCCTTTCCTCCTTTAGGTAGTTGTTCTGAGTTTCTTTTCAATGACAAGTCTGTCAGCCGATCTGCTTACATATCTGAGCTAGAAAAAGTAGGCATTCTTGTCAAGGCCAGGAACTGCCTTATTTTTCAGGTGAGCATTCAAGGTACTTTCAAAAGAAAACAGAACATTCTTAGGTTATTTCATTGAATACACAGTTAAATATTGTCTAGAAATGAGAGCACCCTTAGCCACTACAAGGCAACATACTTTTTATTAACTTTACCAAGAAGTACAAAACTACAAAATACACTTTATGGGATTGGTATATAAATGCATACACTAGTAAGAAAGAAGCTAATCTGGAAGAAGTTGAGTGCTTCTGTTATTTACAATATATAGAAAAGTATGGTATAAATGCTTAGGGTATTTAATTGCAGGAGTGCTAGGAAAAAGTAATTTTGTCTTAAAATACTCCTGTTAGTAAAGATGCATGAAAATGTAAAGGATTTCTTTTTGAGGGGTTAAAAATTCTATTCAACTATCAATTGTCAAGAATTTAATGACATAGGCCTTAAGCTTTTGATGAATAATACATTTCACAAAATCATGTTACTTAGAATTGCTGACAAAAATTCCTAAGGAAGAATAGATTTTCCCCTTTTATAGAAATCTGAGTGGCTGGCTAGGTGATCCTCATTTTGACATGAAATTTTTCCTTGGGCTTGAATCTAAATGCATTTCCACCATCTGTGTTGACCATAAATAAATACAAAAGTCAATCTATAATATATGCTTCTAAATTCATAAAGCATCACAGTGATCTATGGTGCTGCATAATTTATTTATTTTCAATTTTGGTTTAGGGAACAGTAGAGTCAATTGCCATGAAGAAGCCAAAGGAAAGAACTCAACTTTTTGAACAAATTAGTAATTCATGGGAATATGCTGAAGACTATGAACAAAAAAAGAAGAAAATGCAGCAAGCAGAAGAGGATGCGCAGTTTAATTATAACAAGAAAAAAAGTGTGGCAGCAGAACGCAAACAAGCAAGGATAGAAAAAGAGGAGGTAGCTTAAAGTTAATCAGTTTTTTCATGTTAAGGTGCCAGATTTTGCATCTCTTGTGAACTTCAAGTGTTTAAAAAAGCACAAAAAAACCCGACAAAACAAACCCACACACTTATTTTGTTTTTAGTCTAGTAGTTTTTTTCAGTATGGCATACTGTATAATAATTTATTTATCCTTTGAAAAGGTAGAGGGATACATGTAATCTAAATAAAAGAAGGTAGAGGCTTGCCAGTATAATTAATTAAAGTTGACTTCAATATTTGAGTTTTATGATTAGTGACCCTTACTGGAATTAGAGCTACTTGTACACCATCAATTTCATCACTTGAAATTAGACTGCTAATGATAGAAAACAGTTTTTATAAACTATAAATTAAATTTTAATGTTGGTAGGCAGAGCATTACCAGATGTTAATCAAGGAACTGGATGAAGAAAGGATACAGCTGCAGCTTTTTCAGCTTTATCACAATGGAAAACAAATTAGCTTTCTGAAAAACAATTTGGATGAAAAGAATATGGAGGCTTATATCAAGAAAGAGGCTCTTTCTACAGCAGAAGATTCATTTAAAGTCAAGAAAAAAATGTTTGGGATACTAAACAGGGACCAACAGCATATGGAAAAAGAAATGAAGTAGGTTTTCCAATCAGATTCTGTGATAGTTGAATAGAGCATTGTCTGCACTGGGAATTCCTTGGCAGGTGTGCATTTCCTGGTGAAAATGTGGTTGATAGTCCATGCTGTGGAAGTCAGTTCCTAGCAATTCACTGAAGTAAAATCCAGAAATTATTTTTTACCTCCTGTACCATGCCTAGTTATATTTTTCATTATATAAACACTTGTTTGCCATTAAATTTTAGGAGGTTATTTTTCACTTTCTAAATTACTGTTTTCACTGGATATTAAAAAAAAAAAATCCTCTGTGGGCATACCCACAGTGTAAACCCTACCCTTACAGTTTAAAACTGATTATATATGTGGTCAGCACT